CTTTTTTTTTTTTTTTTTTTTAATTTTTTTTTTCAACGTTTTTATTTATTTTTGGGACAGAGAGAGACAGAGCATGAACGGGGGAGGGGCAGAGAGAGAGGGAGACACAGAATCGGAAACAGGCTCCAGGCTCTGAGCCATCAGCCCAGAGCCTGACGCGGGGCTCGAACTCACGGACCGCGAGATCGTGACCTGGCTGAAGTCGGACGCTTAACCGACTGCGCCACCCAGGCGCCCCTGAATTCAGGGGCTTCTAATAAAAAACACAGCAGTCAAAAACTGATTGTACAGACAAGAAAAGTAACAAACCATTTGCATTGGGTTATCAATGCTGGAAAAAACAGCTGAGCTTTATATTTTTGTTACTCACCCGATGGTGAAGAACTCAAGTTTTAAACTGGCACACCTTCAAAACTTAAAAAAAAAAAAAAAAAAAAAAAAAAAAAAAAAAAAAAAAAAAAAAAAAAAAAAAACCTCAATTATTCACTGGTTTTCTTTAAAACACAGACACCATGGCTAGTATCTGGAAGATAATCATTGTCACTTTCCTTAGGAGTATAAGCGGATACATTCCAGGTAGATGTTAAGAGTCCTGGCTCTGGTGCCTATCTATCTGGGTTCATTTTCTGCCTCCCAACCTTATTCGATCCATTGTCTAGGGATATGCTTCCTGCCTCAGCTTTCTCATTTATAAAATGGGGATAATATGGAATCTATATCATAAAAGTTGTATATGATTGCTTTGAGGTGTAAAGGAGGAAAGAGTTTTCCTTGACTCTCTTAGGGTCTCAGGTTGGGTCTGAAAATTAAACTGACGAAGATTATAGGAGAAAAGCATACAAGTTTTACGTGACACTGGACCCTTCATAAGGAAATGAGGATCTGAAGAAACAGAACTGAGTATGGTTATGTTACGCTTGATAAAGAGTGGGCAGCTGTGTAGAAAATATGACAGGTCCTTAAGGAGCATGAGGGGAAAATTAGCCAGCCTTGTTTGTTAGGATTCTTCTCTGGTGTTCCTTTGTTTTAAAAGATAAAGATGAGGGGCGCCTGGGTGGCGCAGTCGGTTAAGCGTCCGACTTCAGCCAGGTCACGATCTCGCGGTCCGTGAGTTCGAGCCCCGCCTCGGGCTCTGGGCTGATGGCTCAGAGCCTGGAGCCTGTTTCCGATTCTGTGTCTCCCTCTCTCTCTGCCCCTCCCCCGTTCATGCTCTGTCTCTCTCTGTCCCAAAAATAAATAAACGTTGAAAAAAAAAAATTTATAAAAGATAAAGATGAGTCTTCCCTCCAGGTACAGGGAGGGCACCTCCCAGGGGAGAAGGTGTGGGGTAGATCAGAGCCACCTTCTTGCTTCTGTTGCTTTCTCAAACTCCTTCAGCTTAAAATATCCAATATGCCAAAGTATCATACTTTGGGGTGGCATGTCCTAAAACCCCATCAGAGGGTTAAATTGCTTATACATTAAAGCATATAAAATAGTAAGCATTTTATTATCATTGTCCTTGTTACTTTCTTTTTTTTTTAATATGAAATTTATTGTCAAATTAGTTTCCATACAACACCCAGTGCTCATTCCAACAGGTGCCCTCCTCAATGCCCATCACCCATCCCC